TTCCTTCCTTCCTTCCTTCCTTCCTTCCTTCCTTCCTTCCTTCCTTCCTTCCTTCCTTCCTTCCTTCCTAGAAATGTGCTGTTTTATTACAAAGAGTCTCACACAAAAGAAAAAATATCTCAAAAAGGAAATTAGGCTAACAACCTCCACCTGCAGAATTGGGGGGGGGCAATCTTTCTAAGTAAAGCAGGAAAAAAATCTCCAAAATTTATATTCAAATCTAAATTAAATACTAAATTTAGTTTCACCAGAATTTGCTGACCTTTTCTTCCTTCCTTCACCACCCTGGAGTTTGGTCCAGCTTTGGCTAGAATCCAGTCTCAGAGCACAGACTAACTCCTCTCCAAGAATCAATTGATTTGAAGAAAAGCCATCCTGTGATCAATTGCCTGTTGTTGCTTCATCAAAAAGGCATTATCCCAGATAAGCTTGTTGACTTTCTTCTGTTTCACCTTTAATAGCCAAGTCTGAACATTTTAATTTACTCTAACATGAGATCTAAAGATTCACACTTTCAAACCACTAACATTTTCTTTCTTAGGAATAAGAAAGAAAATCTTTCCTACAATAACTTTTTTCTTCTCCTTTTCTTTATCTGAGTAGCTATGTAATATGTGTCTTTCTTCCCACATTCAACAACATTTCGTGAATATGTATAATTCATTATGTCAGCCACAGGAATCACGATCCAATCTTTATGTCTCTCTCTCTCTCTGGTATGGAACTTCCATGATATCCGAATATCTTAGCCAAGCCCTTTCTAGTGGCCACTGGAAAAGTGAAGATGGTGAAGATGGACTTTCCATGATTACTAGCACGGTGGCCACCTCTGTCCCAAGATGCTGCTGTGCGAGGCTCTCAGCGGCTACTGCCCCTCCCAACACAGCCTCTTTGGCATCCCGTAATGTCCTAAACCACTCAGGTGCAGAATTGCTCCTGAAACACGAGGCATAGGTTCCACTGGCCGTACTTGAAGTCGTGTGAGCCCTAGAAACACTGTAAGAATTTCATTGTGAGGGAACTATCGAGGGTCCCATAAGACCTACATTTGTTAATCCCACCCAACAATGGCCGCTTCAGTGACAAAACCACCTTGCACTAGGGCCGACCTCTTAACACTGTCAGAAGGGAAACAAGCTTTTACACACTGATACCATATTCAGGCCACAATTTATAACCAAACTGTTGGATATGAGAGTTCGCAGATGCCATAGCTTAGAAATAAATACCACGAGACCTCCAAGCTAATTCATGTACACTTGGGGGTAGGGGGAGTGCATGGAGGGGAAGGAGAAAAGACTGTGTTTTACATGGTCTTTTGAAATTATTGCTTTATTTAAAATACAAAAAGATTTCCATATCTTTTATATAGGCCATTTTGTATAATACCACCAGTACTAACTGGAAAATGAGTATTAGAAAGTGATGATTACGGATGCTTTAGAATGTAAGAATTTCTCAGAAATCAGGGAGCCTCAAGAAGTTCCACAGATTTGCTGTCATTGATATTGTGAGTCTTCGGTAAATACTAGTTAATGCCACGGAGACAGCTCCGGCAGATCAGATACGATTGTTCGGACGGAGCCCAAGTTAGGTAGTGTGAAATTCTGGTGCTTGGGAATATTATCAGCAAAGACTGCTATGACTTGGCACTATCTGAACAGTCCTGAGAGACTGACAAAAGATGGGCAAATCTGCACATCCTATGAACTATCTAATGGACAAACCTGCTCCAGCATGAAACCCACAGAAAGAACAGCATTCCACATGTACAACCCTTGAATCCTGTTCCACGTGACAGCAGCTGTAAACGAATCTTATTTCAATTCAAACAACTTCTTCCTCTTCTTCTTCTTACTTTTCTTCTTCTTCTTTCTGTTCTTCTTCTTCTTCTTCTTCTTCTTCTTCTTCTTCTTCTTCTTCTTCTTCTTCTTCTTCTTCTTCTTCAAAACAGTTCTCCTGTAGCCCAGCTGGCACTGAACTCCTGATCCTCTTGCCTCCACTTCCAAAATGCCAGGATGGAGGTGTGCACCATCAAGCCTGGTTTTGTTCGAACCTTTTAAGTTGAGCATCATGTCTCTTGCAACCCAGGGGAGCTGTGATGTTTCCCTTGAATCACACTGAAACATGTATGGGTGAGATGAGAGTTGAGCAGAAACCTCTCCATTGTTCGTGGACGTGTGAGTTTCTCACTGTAAGGGGCGGCCGCTGCTGTGGGAGGCCTCGAGTTCTTTAAAAGTTATTTTATTTTTATTTCTTTTTGGTGTTGTTTTTTTGGTTTGGATATTTCTGTTTTGTTTTTTTATTTTTTGGTTTTGGGGGGGTGTTTTGTTTTAGGTTTTTTGTTTGTTTTTGGTTTTTTTTGTGGTTTTTTTTTTTTTTTTTTTTTTTGAGTTAGGTTTTCTGTACATAGCCCTGCCTGAAACTCACTCTGTAGACAGGGTAGCCTCAAACTTAGAGATCCGCTTGCCTCTGCCTCCTGAGTGCTAGGATTAAAGTTGTGCACCACCATGCCCAACTCTTACTTATTTATTTAAAGATTTATTTATTATTCAGTCTTTTTGTCTGCATGTACACCTGCACGCCAGAAAAGGGCACCAGATCTCATTATAGATGGTTATGAGCTACCATGTGGTTGCTGGGAATTGAACTCAGGACCTCTGGA